ATTTAATATATATTATAAATATTATTTAAAACAAGCATAAAATAAAAATAAACATATTAAATGACGTTTTAAAAAAAATTGATAATTAAATTTAAATATTTTAAATAAAAAAGCTAAATTTACTAAAATTAAACAAATAAAGTAAAATTTTGATTAAATTAATTGCACAAGTACTTCTCCAAAGTTCATCATGGATAAAGCTTGATCTTAAAAAATAACAGATTTATAGTTTATTAAAATGATTTATATTCAAATAACACTGAATAGATTTAAATACGTATTATTATTTTGGTTTAAATGGCTTCTTAACCATATAAATTCAACTCAAATGGAATATACCAAACAACTTTGACATCCGATATGCAAGCTACTCTTGGGTTACCCTTAACAACTTTGATATTTGATAACAAGGTTGACAAAACCCTATGTTAAACCCCAAATTTATCCTAAATTTTCAATTAAGTTTTAAAAATTTTAGTAAAATAAATAAGTCCCTAAACGTGACAATTTAGCCAATCTAATTCTTTTTTTTTTATGTCAGATTTAACTCATTTGTGTGTTTTACTTACATAAATAAAATCAATACTTATCATGTAAGTGATAATATATCAATATTTTATTCACACATATGATGCACAAACATATATTAAATTCATAGTAAAGAAAATAGGTTAAATTACTCAAATCACTAAATTCAAAAGTTTGTTTACTTCAATAGCAATTTAAAAACTTAATTGAGAATTTAAGGTAAGTTTGAAAGTTTAATATAAAACTTTGCCAAAAGAAATTTGTACAAAGTAGTGTAAAACAAAGGAAAAATTTGAAAAAAAAAATTAAAAAAATATGTCTGTTGTAAGGGTCAAGCTCATAATGTCAAAGTGACTCAACCTAATAAATCAAATACTTAAAACCACCCAATCCAAAGCAACCTGATGTGTTTGCTAGGTATAATATCCATGTGAATATGTGATCAAATATGCTAATTTTGTCTAATATTACGTAGCAGGTTAGGTACGTTAACAATTTTCTTCATGTTCAAAATACTGTCGTCTACTAGTCCCTGCAATTCACACTTTCAAAAACAAAATTTTCGATAAATAAAATCTGAAAAATCAAAATTTGCCTTATATTGTGTCCGTCACTTCGTCCCCGGGGTGGACTAATGACAGAATCCTTGATTTTCCTTTTATTCTAAGCCCAAATAAGTTTTATTTCATTTATTTAAAGGGTTGTTTTATGAACACCTTTTTGGCAATAATTATTAATGAAAAAATAAAATTTAATTTATATTTAATTAATTATTTAATT